CAGTACCAAAAGCCACGTGGACACCCAGGTCATTCAGCGATACCACCAAAGAGCCCCTCCTCCACCATCTCCTGGTCAGCCAGGTTTGACGTTGTGGAGAGCATCTCCCATTGCAAAGGTTCCCACCATCGCTGAGGGACCAGCATGCACACCAGTGTCCAGGGCAAGTCAACAGCGAAGAGGCTGAGGGAAGAAAGAGGTGAGCATAGGCGAAGGGAGGACACAGAAGGCCGTTCTGTCTTCCTCCACCACTCTGAGCTCTTTTGGGTTGGATACGAGCAAGATGAGGAGGTCAGGGTGGCAGGAGTAATTACTTCACGGAGTAATCAAGGTGCACAGGGCCTTCCTCTGGTTTGTCCCAAGCCTCAGGATGACTCTTTTAGATTTAGGATTCACCAGCTGCAGCAGATATACAAGGACGGACGTGGTGCAGGGACATACCCCTGCCCAGCACGGGCAGCACGGCTGCAGGAGACCTCTGCCTCTTCCAGCACCCCCTCACATGCAGGCAAAACACGTAGGGGTGCGTATATACGATGCCAAGTGGTGAGCTCATTGCGCACGCAGGAGCAGAGGTTTCTGTGACCAGCTCTTCCCCGTGACGCAGCACAGAGGTATGAGTCATCTGGGCCATCCGAGTGCCTTGAAGTGCCATGATTGCTCTAAAAATATTTTACACAAAGAAATCCTTTTGATCCCAGGTGTTTTGAATTCTTTGCATATCTGTGAAAATAAAAGAGCCTTTAATACTTGGAGCACTGTAAAAATCAGCAACAGCGGTGACGGCAAACAGTCATGAACTATTAATGTGTGTTTCACCAGGAAGAAACAGGAGCAGCAGCACAGACTGATACCTGCCGCTGTTTTGGGCCACAAAGACAATTTCTTCGCTAGTCCCTCGTCTTCCTCTCCGAGTCCGCAGGCACCACCCCGGTGTGCCGAGTCGTTAATGCTGCAGTAAAGAGAAAACTTTATTCCCTGAGAAACACCCACGGGGTGAGAGGTGGGACTGCAGCCGGGCAGGGGTTGGGGTCGGGGTTCAGGGGCACAGTGAGGGTTGGGATATGGGGCAGGATGAGGGGAAGGGTCGGGGTAAGAGTTGGGTGGGGGTCCGGGCTGCAGCGGGAAGCAGGGACAGGGTGAGGATCACAGTCTGGAGTTGGGGCAAGGCCAGAGAAGAAGGGATGGGGCAAGGAGTGGGGTTAGAGAGGGTTAAAACCAGGGGCGGGGGGGGGGTTAGGCTGAGAATCGGGGTTAGATTCGGGGCTGGGGGC